CAAAGGCAAAGGACAACATAGTTTTAATTATATCATTCCCCTGGGTAAAAAATTTTTAATTGGAAGAAGATTTCAGAGAACTAGATAAATTACTAATAACTAAGGACAGACTTCCATTTATTAAAAAGGCATTGGCTTCTGAAAACAAAACAAAACAAAAAAAAAAGAAAAAAACACCAAACAACAAAAACTTCTGAACTCAAAAATTGAAACAACACAAATAATTTTGAAACAGGGCTGCACACATTTATGGAGCAGTAAAGACTACAGAAGGATAGTTATTGGAACTGTGGGATCACAATAAGGAAAAAGGTGTTGATGTGTATTTCTCTTGGTTTATAAGTAGCCAGACTTAATGAACTACACCGCCTCCACCTGACCTGCAAAATCACTGTCCTTTTTTTCTTTCCCCCCACAGATAAAGCCATTGTTTTCTTTATTTTCACACAAACACTTCAGAGAAAAAATTGAAAAGATACCCAAATGACCAATGCTGACTGCAGAATTAAATTTGTCATCTGTTATCAGTAAATGATAAAGTATTCCTAAGTCGACAAAAGAGACCACAAAGACCAGTGTTTCGATTCTATTGGTCAGCAAATTTGTGAATAACACAATGAGTCTGTGCTTCAGATGAGGCTCTATTTATTTTCTCCAGGTAGCTTGAAAATGGCAATACACTGATTTTCCACAAAGGAATTTGACCTAAGGAATTTTCACATTCAATATGTTCTTTGCTATAATAGATTCTTTGCTATAATAGATTCCAGTAATGACGGGTTTTATGCAATAAATTCATTGCACTGATTAAGAAAAATATGGCAATGAAAACAGACAGTGTGGTCAGTTGGTAAGAAGCTGAAATTTAAAGAAGGCTTTTCAATGAATGGATTAGAATCAGTCACATCCCAACATAGCAAAGGTTATTCATAAGTAAGCACAGTGAGTAAGGAGCCACGTGTTTGAGGTGATAAAACAGCATCTAGCAGAGAAAGTTTGTGCTGCAGTTCCAGTATATGTTGTAACGTCAGTAAGGGATTTACTGGGGTAGTGTAAACCACTCTGAAGCATTCATAACTTTGCTACGTGCAATGTGCCATTCTCAGATTAAATGGTGAGGCCCACATGGGGGCTTGTAGCCCACCTTTAAGCTCAATCTCTCCACGGTACATGGAAAACATCTTGTAGTTCTTAACAACATGAAGATTTTAGTACACATTTTGCACATTCAGGAAGATTAGTCCCCTGAGCTAGTACAATACGCCCACTATTTTTTAATTTTTCACTGGTTGTTAAAAAAAAAAAAAAAAAAAAAAAAGGTTACAATTGTTAGTGACTAGCATTCCTTCCTGTACCAGAAGCAACAACACGTTCTCAGCAACTTCCTCAGGAATTCTCACTCCTCTTTGGCCATGTGTTATCAGTTCTACCAGTGATGATCATTAGTACATGGAGTATGATAAACTCATTACCAAAATCTACAAAGCAGTGCAAACCACTGCATTTCCTGGCATGCAATCCCATTAAATAAAAATACTTAGATTGTCAGTGATTTAGAACAACTGCCCAATAGACCTAGCTGAAATCTGAAATTTCCGTTTACAAGAAAAATCAGTAACAATGTAAAAGTTATGGAGCCAGCCCAAAAGTTAGCCTAACCCAGCATTCAGTCAGCAGCAGCAGTAGCAAACATCAAGGCAGAACACAAAAACAGGGCACATGGCGACTACATTTAGACAGCTGGGTTTAAAGGTACTGAAGCATGTATATTTCAGTAATTTGTCTAAATTTATTTGAATCAGTTTATACTTTTGGCCTCCTCATCTCCCAGTACTGAAAGTTACTTATGCTGTGGAAAAAAAAAAAAAAAAGTACTGGGTTTGTTTTAAGATGGAAGACTGAGCATTTCCATGACAGATCCCAAGTTTTTGGACTCTCAGAAATAATGTATAATCACTCCCTATTCAACCTTATCATGGATGTCTAAATTTTTATCACATCCAACTTATTTCTCTTCAATTCCAAAGAGGAAAAATTTCATCTGTCCTCAAACAGAAGCCAGTCCACACTAAAGAGAAACTATTTTTGTCTTCTAGTGGGTTCTACTGACCTGTGTCTTTACTGACCTGGGGAGACAAGACTACATGTAAGATAAAAACATGAGATCATATATTTATGCAAAGACATTATGATGGTTTTATTCTGTTCTTATTTCTTATCACCATAACTGCCAACACATTATATTTTTTTTTGTCTGTCATAGAAAATTGAACTGATACGTTCAGATATTTAAATCACTGGTAGTGGTGCCAGAATTTCTCTCCTTTTTTATAACAGCTTATTTAAAGTTCATCACTAGGTAATTAGAGTTGAGACTGTTTTTTCATCATGTATAATGCTTTCCATTATTAACACTGAATTTCATCTCCCGTTTTATTGAACAGTCACTATAAGACAGAATTCATTTCACCACTTGATGTTTACAATGTAAAGCCTCTATATAAGTAGGTCATTTAGATTTTCTTTCTATATCAGGGAGATAAGTAAGCATTTCAGAGATGACTTATCTCATTCTAAGCTAGACATTCAAAATAAGTCAAATGAATCATGATCTTGTTCGAGCATAAAGGAAGCTTAGATTCAAATATTTCCACAGAAAGTAAATAAAGATAAGTAAAGTAGATCATTACCTTCAAAACAGCAAACGTCTAAGAAACAGGAGTCTTATTTATTTGCTGGCCCTCCAAAATCAAAGAAAAAAGATAGACACTGCCCACAGCAATTCTCACCTTTCCTGAGACTTATTTTCAGATGGGATGACTCTCATAGAGAAGCTTCTCTGTTTTCAATGATTAGAGAGGGAGCTGAGAGGACTGAGACTTGGCATAATTTTTAGCAGGCTAAACTTAGACAAGATTACTCTATTGTTGGCACTATGAGATCTTTCTGAACTGGTAGAATTTAGTCACAGATTTAAGAAGGTGCTATCAGGTGACGATCACTCTGAACACACCAACTTCTGCAGCTATCATTCCCAAGTTACATGGCATGGTCACAACTGGATGCCGTCTTCCATCTGTACAGACATGGGAAACAGCTGTCCACAGATGAAACTGCTCTGAATAAGTCTGTAAACTTTGTGGTTTCATTATCCTGCACCCTTTCTAGATCAGTTCTGGATGGGTTAACTGCACAGGTCTAGCTACAGTGGTATTTATCCTTCAATTAGTCAACCTCACAATATTTTTCAATACAATATGAACACAAAATGTTGCTTTTGTGGTTTTACTTAAAAACAAAACAAAACAAAACAAACACACTTATTAAAATAAGCGTTAAAAAACTGGGACAAAAAAAAAAATGGGGAGATTTATTACTGGATGAAAATTCCATTACCTAAAACAACATTTATGTGTCTTCAACTATTCATCCAGAACTATGTTAGTTATGTAAATAATTACTTCTAATGCTTGTAACACTCACTAAATGGTACATATTTCTTGATGATATGAGCAGTGAGTTATTTGTCTTGATGTTTGTAATATCCTAAGCGAAGTACTATGACACAGACATTCAAATCTATTACTGAAACTTACACAAATTAAATTTAGTTTGCACTTCTAAAAAACTGTATGCAAAGGTCTGTAAACACCTTCCACTGTATCTAGTGACAGAGGAAAATTCCTGTGTCATATAAACAAAAGATGTACCAATGCAATATATTATGCAATACCAAGCTAGAAGAGTAACTGTACTTTTAAATGAAGTTCTGTGAGAAAGTCATGAATCTTCCTCAAAACAGAAATATATTTTATAAACAATTCTGACATTGTGGACCAGAACTGTAAAAATATTTAGATACCTAAAAGTGCAAATAGGACACATAACGTATTTTCCTGTTCACTTTAGACACTTAGCTCTCCCAAATACACACACTGATGATTGACTGGCCTCGTCATAGTCCATCTGATCAGAACTGAGAAGTAACGGTGAAAAAAAAGGTTCTTGTTTTTATTATTAAATAATGTTTAACATTTTATAGCAAGTAAAGCAATGCACTCAATAACAATTAGGAACATTGATGCTTTTGGTGATCATACCAAATGCCAAATATATTATCATTACTTGCTCAAATACCTTTACTAATCTGGATCTCTCTGCTGAACTAGCTCAGAAAAAATAGAATAAATGACATGTGCCATAAATATATCACATCATTTGAGTTAGAGTAAAAAAGTAGATTTAAGCCAATGGCCTGTAGTGTTACTGTAAGCAAAGGAAAAGAAGAAATGACAACAAAACAAAAAAAAAATGAAGAAAGCTTTTATATTCTGACCCACTCTAATATTCACAGTACCACAGAAATGCATTTAATCTGTAGAAAAGCATAATTGACTGCAACTGTGTTTGAGGAAGCCTCAATGAGTTTTTAAGAGAGGCTATAATGATTACCCCTTAGTTAGAGCTCAGCACATTTATTACACCAATAAACTGAGACCAGATTTATAATACCTTACTTATAACCATCTAACAATTAGCTGCCTAATCCATTTTATACTACCCTTTCTTTATCATTATCATTGATAAAGAGACTGGGGCTTCACAAGCAAGTTACCTAAGACATCCCTATCTAAGACAGATACCTAAAGTATGTGAAACAAATAACCCTGTAAATGAGTCTTATGTTCAACTGTCAAGACAAGGAGCACAGGCAACTACCTTAGACATGATGCCTAGTGTTTAGATGGAGTCATTTATATCAGATGTGGTGGACTGATCGCTATGACTTTAACAGCACATCTATACACACAAGTGTGTGTGTATACAACAAAAAAAGCCAAGATTTGGTGAGTAAATCTGCACAACTTCCATATATTTATCAGAGTAAACATCAAGATAGACTAAAAAGGCCAGAGAGTTAAGTACATCATGGTTGTTTCCTTACTTTGCACAGCTTGTTTGCTTTGCATTTTATGAAACAGGGATACAAAAGCACTCACAGACTGATAGATCTTGATAAAATGACAGACACAGTCAGAAGGATGCACCCACAGGGACCAATTTCAAACTGAAAAAGAAAAAGACTGGTTTTATTTTGTGTTGTGTACATTTTTTGCCCAGTCCTAAAGAAAAGCAAACTGAACTGAAAGCAAAAAGAATTGTTCTCATTTATGCTAGAACTGAATTTGTTGTTTTGTTTGTTAAAACATAAGACATGTCCATATAGTGCTTGAAACAATATTCAGAAGACTTCATATGAGAGTGATAAACATAGAAACTACAACAGGTTTAGTATCTGCTCTATACACAGTACCTGGTGAATATTCTGCTGAAGAAATACAATCAGATCTTCATATCTTCTGGCACTATGTAGTATTAACTGGGAAGAAATGTAAGAAGAAAAAAAAGTAACCAAAAAAATAACTTATTTTTATAACCTGAAAGCTGATCTAAAGTAGCCAAAACTTTAAATTAAAAGATTTAACTAATTTTAATAACTTTAATTGAAAGATTTGAACTAACAAAATGGAATAAAGATCTAATGAAATCTACCTCTTACTGCCATTACTTGGTATAATATTATATCTCAGCACTTCAATATATTCTGAATTTTTAATACTGCTTCTTGTTGGTTTAAGTTCACTGAACAGTGTGATTCAATTTTAAGCATTGTTTATGCAATGAAAAATAATTCCTAGAACAAACATAGGAAAGCTGCAGCTTTAGAAGACATAGAATGGGCAACTAGCACAGGGGTTTATACCTATGTGGCAAGCCATCTATAGCAGGCATGTATCAGAGCACTTCTTATCATATTCCCATGAATATTCCTATTTAACAGGAGCATTCACAGATCCAGGCCCCTACTTCAACATTCTTTGTCTCTTTTTCCATCTTCAGATTTTGACAGAAATGGTGGTCTTGCGGGTACTGTGTGAGGAAAGATCACGCGGTCTGGATTATATTCCTTTCCATCACATTTCCACTGTGGCTATGTCTACATGACCTTTGATAAGCACTACTCAGAGGCAGCATAATGGTGTTAGTTGCACTCTGAAATAACCAGCAGCTCAGAATTATGTTAACATACTAATAAAATAATCTAGCTTGTCTCTTGGAAGCGCATGTTATAGCCAAGGTTTTCTGCTGTATTCACCCTATTTATACAGGTTTTCACTTCCAGTCGTTCCAAAACTGTCTGCTTCTGAAAAGTTGTTGACACATCCATTCCTCCGTTTAGGAGGCCAGTAATATTTCCTTAAACCACTAAAGCCTGGCTTATGGCATCAGTGTTTGCAAAGCCATTTAAGAGCTTCAGAAATAAAAGCATAATTGGAAAGTATTTTGCCATGTGGAGCATCTGGATGAAAAAAAAAGGCAAAGAATTCTGCATAAGATAAGAAGAAAATACTGCCTTTTGATGCTCACAGCCATGCTGATCAATTTGAGAGGATCCATGTTCACTTTTACTGCATATCAATAAAAATAGGCAGTTTATAAGATTGAAAGATAGATGGAACAAAAAGGACTTCAGAGAGCCCAATTTCTCCCAGACACTGGGACAACTCAGAGCCAGACTGACTACAGGACTTTTTTATTTCCTACTGGGTTTTGGATCACAACTAACTAATTTGACATAAAAGATTTTAAAAGATTAAGAGAGCAATGGAAATCAGATACATTGTACTAAAATAAGAAAAGCTAGAAAGAGAATATATGGAGAATGTTACTGTGAGATACACAGAGCCTTACAGTCTCTAGGATTCCATCTGCCTTGTATTTTCCTATGGGAGTGAACTGCTGTCTTCCTGATGGCCTGAAGAGGATATTCAGACAAAACCAAAGCTCATGTTAAAGGGAATAACATGTCATTAAAGAGAAAGCAACATGTTATATGAACTGAATGATGAGCCAAAGTTTATGTATTATTATTTTTAACCTCTTTTCAAAAAAGACTTCTTGCATAATAATTTCATATTACATATTAGACAAACTTTTATCAATTAAGCATATACTTTAGCTGTACTGTGCTCTCAGACTATTTATTATGAATTACAAGTTTCTCTATACAGAAAGAGGATAAATATAGGTTTAAGTTGTTAATGACAGTTTTTTACTGGAAAAGAATATTAGAGCAATGACATTAAAACAAGCAGAAGAACATATGTACAATATCATCATAGAGGAAGCATTTTATAGATGTAAAATATGTAAAATATCATTCGAAATGTCTTTGAATTTGCTGCTTCTATTTCAGGTTTGAAGAAGGACTTCTCTGCTAACAGCTTCTCTGTTATTTTTCAGCTATCTCAGTTGATCTAATAAAAGAAATGACCTATTCTCACAAAACCTGGCTCACTTAAAAATATCATGTAGGATCCAGTACAGCCAAAGCTAGCGATCTAAAAGTTAGATGTGTTGTGTACAAGCAGCCTAATTGCACAGCATAAACTAAGTAACTAGTAGTTACTAGTAAAATGCTGCATCTGGAAAAATAACTCATAGTAAAGACTTTGGAGAAATTCTAGCCTCGGTGAAATCCACAGGACCTTTCACAGCAATTTTAAAGTATCTGACTATTCTGTCCCAGCTACTGGGACAGCAGAAATGACATTTGGCATTCCTCCCTAAGCCATTTTAAACTGCACAAATACAGCTTACAAAACATTCATTTTGTAAAATATGTACATATATAACAGACACAAGTATAGGAGCGTTGTACAATAACTAAAACTGCTTCTCCTACTTACAGTGCTATAATTGCTTTTTCATTGCCCCCTGCACGCCACAATATGTCTGCGATAGCCATGGTGAGGCATTTGGTCCGGTGAACTTCTGAAGGCTGAAGACAACTGCAGTCCAGGAAATGCAAGAAACAGAGAAGTAACAAAATGTATATTGGGAAGTTTATGCATTTGAGGGCAAACTGCCCCAATTACAGTACACACAGATTTATAGCAGGTTTGTAGCTAAAAGAACAAAAGCATTTTCTTAGATGCTATTTAGGTGTTTTGATGCCTCATAATGAGGCTCTGGCTAGTTGTCACAGAAAATTATAATTTAGGTATCTCAGTTCCTTCTTTAGTCAAGAAAAAGTCACCTTGGATGGCCAACTCAAAAAAATCCCGTGAATTGAACAAGGAGCTAGTATTGTTACTGAGGATACATAGGAGGTATAAAGGTACAGTTGAATCCAACCTTTCTCTGAGGATTAAGCATCTGAATGAAATGCCACGACAGCACTCACCATGCAGGCAATGTGAAGACTTCTCAGCACTGGACTGAACAGGATATATAGGAGAATATGGTGCTGCTGTTCAGCACCTAAAGAGCTCTAAAGAGGGAGGTACAACTGAAGTCACCACTGGAATATGGGCTTTCTGGAACCATTCATTGAGATGAGCCACCTTAAATCTCATTTTATGAATTTAAGACGGTAGTTTAGATTTTACTGAAGATAATCAGATCCAGTGAATAGAGCTGTACTTCCTCTTTAGACTTCTAGTAAATCAAACTGGGGACAGTGGGTAGGTCTCTTCTGAAGTCATAAGCAAAATAGAAATTTGAGGGAAATTAATTCATCTAGGTCAAGTGTTAACAGCTGTGTGCTGCATTTGGGGGATCTGGATGAGCTTATGTTGCTCATAATGATGGTTAGACTGCTGTTATGGGTACTTAGACTAAGCAGTTGTAAGCTTGCTAGCCTATGTCGATATGTTCTATGACAATACCCTTGTAATACAAGTGGATCTAAGAGGTGAAATGCACAATCTCTACTTCTAGGAGATTAATAGTAAAGATGGTGTTTGATTTATAAGGAATGAATAAAACAAAATTATAATTATCATTAAGAGCAGTGGGCCGAAATCAAGAGAAAACTAAATAAGGTGTGATCAACAAGAGGAACTGATTATATACAGATCTATAATGATATCCTGAAAACTAATCTTCTAAAAGAAATAGTGGATGCCCTTTCAGAACACATATTTATAATAGGTTGGACAAAAAAAAGAACAGGTTAATGTACTTTAGGGAACAATACTGTATTGGCAAAGACTGGACAAGAGAAGCTAATTCGTCTTTAAATCTGAAATAAAATAGCTTTAATATTCTGTAACAGGATTGTTTTATATATTAAATATGATTTTTAGTTTATAACGGCCTTCATAATTTCTTTCTTAAGTTTTATTTCTTAACTCTTGTCAATAACTATACACCGTAATGTTCTTACATACTACTACACTTTATCTGAAGTACCATCTGCAATAAACACTATGCTTGCATTTTTATAATAATAATGTATGTCCCAAAGTGGTGACCTAAAACATTGTGGTAAATGACATGGTATTGGTCTGTGGAGCTCCACTGTTTCTGAAATATTTTCATTTAGATGCTTGGCTTGGAACTTACACAACGATGTGCAAAACTACAGAATGTTTACAGTAATCTATTGATCCCAAATATGTAAGCAATGCTGTCAACACATTTCCTACAAACTGTGTTTTGTGAAATCTTCTAATATCTCCAGTTATTCTAACTTCCAAGATGTGAATGGAGAAATAAAGGACCAGGAGGCCAAAAGTCACATAATAGAAAACTGGCAGATTTAAGAATAAAACCCAACATCCGTGAGCCTGAAGAAGTGGACAACAGATCCATGCCCCTGGGAAGCACAGAACTGGAATTTTCTCCAGTGCCTTCAAGAATGGCAGTCTTTGAAATTCAGATATTATCAGTCTTATGAGTGTTACCAGCATGGGAGATGATGTCAAAACCTGTTCCCAGCATTTGAGTAAAAGATCTAATGATTCAAAAGACTAAACAAGAAACACCAAACATCAAAAAATTAAACAGACTTTCAAGTTCAATGTCTGCCCTCAGTATAATGTTCATTTAGAGAATGTTTCCCTCTCTGAAGGATGTGAGATATGGGAAATAATTGGTGAGACTTTTCAAGTAAAAAAAATATAATCACAACTTTCCCTTATCTCTGCCTGTGTTGTAATATAGACACTCAGAAATTTATGGGAAGCACGGCAACTAATTTATGTGTCTGAGAAAGGTAGCAGAGTAAGAAGGAGACATAATAATTATTTCTTGAACGTTGAAGAAGTAAGCCTGAAGTCAAACATTTACTGTGAACTGTCTAATAATTTGAAAATTCAGGTTAGAATTAGAAAGAAATATTAATCCTCTCATTTCAAGCTCTGAGACTTCCCTTTCTTTCTGCCTGACTAAGGGTTTCCGCACATGGTAAACACGTCATAAGAAAAATATGTTTATCTCATGAATAAAACAGTCCGTCTTGCTACTCATTTTTAGGAGCCTGGAGGCTTTTAGCATTTCTGTGCATAAAGACAAAGAGCTCACCTGATAATCTGAAATTCCTTGGAGACTTTCTGCATACTTCAGCAGCATTTTTCATACACAAAATATGTAAAACCAAAATCTTTTAAAACCATGTGGATAATAGGATGGGAAAAATAGAAGAGGCAAATATTGCCAAATAAACAGGACAAGTTGTAGTTGGCGTGAGTTGGGACACTTATAGTTTAAACAATCTGGTCTCAATCCACTTATCGGGATGGCACATAATTTTGTGACATTTACGATCACTGACCCATGTTGAAAGAGGAAAAGTTTAACATCTCTATTTTTACTAAGGATGACCTGAGACTCCAAGGGACGAAGGAGTAGATGATCAAAGGCTGTCCTCCAAGCTGAAACACATTCATGGTTTTCACAATTAGAAATAATTCTTCAGTGAATTGTGTGGATATCCCAGGTCATAAAATCTAATTATGTACTGATTTTCTTACATGGAAATTTTTGAATTTTTTTTTTTATGTGGACAAGACCTTAATCCTGCCTTGAGAAGTCTGCTTTCATTATAATCTGAAATAGAATAATAAAGTTTTGCTAGCTAATCTTTACACTTTTTAAAGGTGTGCTCTGAACAGCAGGCTCATGATAGGAATTACAGACAGATACGATGTACTGAAAGAACTGAACAGAAGGAGAAAAAAACTAAATTGCATAACATTGTAGAATTAACTTGAAATTATACTCTGCACATGTTATTATACCACTGACCCTACCTCTTTATCAGTCCATGCTAATTGTTTTTAAGTGACTTCAAGGTACAGATAATTTTCAAGTGATGAATTCAGGGCATCATGTTTATTTGGCCCTCATCTTGGGGTCTGCAAACAATCAGTGCCAATAATAACTAGCAACAGCAATAGTAAAGGTAAAACTTTCAGTATTGTATTTAGACTTTACACTATGTTTTCAACATTTTTAATGGATTACTAGGTGTCTTGTATCAGGGGTGCCTACCCACAAGTACTCCTGGACCTGGGCACATGTATGGACCCCCTAGCGCCTGGTAATGCTTTGTTTAACTGTGACTTCCCATCCTAGGTGCTGAAGACAAGTAATGACGTTCTATAGGTGCCTGTTTCTTTTCATTATTGATGAAAACAGCCCAAACAAATAATTTGCATTATGGACAAAACTAAGGAAAATCAACAAAGACCCTGTCACTTGCCTAAACAGTTCCAAGCAGAAAAGTGTGTATTTAAAGCCAAATTTTTATACATGACGAATTTTTTTTACATTGTAAGGTAACAAAGTTCAAGAAAAAACCTCAGCATGAAAGCTATTCTGACTAAATTTGGGCCAGTGTATCACCCACAAATAACACAAGGTGGTGGTAGCGTAAACCTGTAAAATACCGTTATCCCTATTCAAAAAAGTGTACCTATAAAGCACTGGAAAGCTTTGTGAAATTTTTCTTTTATAATGGACTTAATTTCTTATTGAAAACAAAAGGCAAATACAAGAAGTCTGGTAATACAGTAATTTTTTTAGACATTATTTTCCAGTATTTCATTGAATAAACTCTGGTCCTTTAGCAAAGTGACAAGTACGTTATATTATAGCAGTCCAAGCAATTTTTCTTGACACTAGCAATACTTAACAATATTCCTTTAAAGTAATTAGAAAATACATACGCAGAATTTAAATTCAAATTCTATTAAGGAGTTTAACTGTGAAAGATCAAACACCGTAGCAGGGAAAAAAAAAATATAGTTATAAATTTAATTTTTCACCCTGCCTGAGTTTCTGAGTGTCAAAAACTGAATGAACTTCATGATCTTTCAAATCCTGATTACATTTTCTTTGAAATCATATCTCCATGGGGTCTCAAGGTTAAATAATATTTAACTGGCCTCAATTCAAGCTGTTGGATTTTTTTAGAGGTTCTTGCATTAATCACAAGCAAGTAATTATACAAATAAAACAGCAACCTCTAAATTCCTACATTTGAATGGGAAAAAAATACAAGTAAATCGTATGCTATTTTTGTTCTCTCTCAGAGACAAAGAGGAGTTCCATAAGTTCAATTTCAAAAGGCTCCTGAGTGGCTGAAGCAGAGAAAAAAAAATTTTACTTCTGTGTGGAAAATATTTCTGATATCAATTCCTGACTTACCGAGTGTCTTTATTCCTGTTACTGTCTGCAAAGATAAGCTGTTGTAGGACACAAGCTTGAACTGCAGCCAGTACTCCACATGGGCCACCCTGAGGAGAATAATGGGACACTCCATGAGCAAAACAATTTGCATTGTTTGATGCTAGTGAAAACTTTTGCAAACCACATGCTTCCATTCAGGCTTAAGCCATTCTTTCATCTCTTTTCTTCCATTGACGACCTTGTAGTGCTCTCTGTTTCTCTATTTTTTTTGCAAGCCAGTGAAAATCTGGTTTTGTGTTTCCCACCTATTTTTTTCTGAAAATGCCTAGGCATCTATAATGTCAAAGGAAACGTTTTAAAAAATCCATTCTGTGATTATGCAAACAAATGAAAGGTCTCCTGGTCCCTACTGAGCCACAGTCTACCCTAACTTCCAGACAGAAATCAAATCTGACTGTTTTCCAAAGGATGAAAATAAGTCTTGCTCTTTTACCTTCTCTGGGCTCTATGCTTCCCCTCAAGTGCCTGCTTACAACACTAAACAAAGATTTCAGTTTTATGTTTAGCAATCTGCACCAGGCTGCTATCTCACTGGGGAAGAGAAAGAAAATGAAGGATGTTTGAACCTTTCAAATGATTAATGTTGGGAAAAAAAATCACAATACCAACAAATACCATATTAACTTTAAACTTTATAGAAAATAGATTTATAGATGTTTTGAAAGACTGTGGGAGGGGGTAGCAACATATCTCCTTCTCCTTCCTTATTCCCTGCCATCTAGCCTACCTCACCCCATAGCATGAGCAAGACCTGTTCCTATGGGTTAACTATATTGCAGAGATAGCTGCACAAGTTGTCCTAAGAAGCAAATGGTGTGCCCTCTTCTCTAGAAAACTTCATCCAGCATAAGTCTCCTTCCCTTGTTACTCAATTCTCTCACAGGGGCCTTGCGGCATATTATTTACCCAAGTAGTTTGCTGAGGAGACAGAGAAAAGACGTAATTTCTCTGGAACATCTATGCATGAACAGAGCAGGCTAGGCAGGACACAAGACTACCATCACAGATAGCACAATACCACACATCACATCGGTAGCACGGGAAATTACTGCAATTTAACAGAGGATTCAGCATATTAAATCCCACAGATGCTGTCCCATGTGTCTGTCAGCACATGCTGCCATTCTCAGAAATGGGTTCATTCTTAACATTAGGAAGTTCATTACTTTAACTCAGGTACTTCCTAAACCAACATCCCATATAGGCTGATGTATCAGTGCTAGATACAGTGAAACAGTGTAGGATCTGTCAAACTCCTCCCAAAACCCTGGAGGAGAATGAAAAGTGCAGCCAGCACTGCTATTTTCAAAAATCAACGTGATCAAAGTGATCAGTTTAATTCTCAGGTTGTCCGAAGTGCAGCATCAAGCCTAAGGGAATGGGACCTGCAGGTACATGCAGTATGCACAGTATGCAACCTAGAAAATAAAGGTCCTATAATCAGAAAACAGCTTAGATATTGATACTTTCCATTTTTTCATTTGTATTACACATACACTACCCCTCTATAATTACTTACATTACTAATGAGTGAATCACCTGAAATATATCAAGGGAAAAAGTAAGGTTTAATTCAGTCCACCAGAGAAAGCCTCCCGGTCAGAAAAATTATAGGAACAATTCTAAATATCTTCTTATAGCACCACAGAAACTTAACGTAGGAAAGAATCAAACAATTCTTCAGCTGAAGTGAATGTTGGAAGTGAGAAGGAATATAGTAACTATCTGAAATAAACACATCTAGGCAAAACACTCTGGTTTACCATTCCTGTTGTGGAATTTACAGTAGGGAATATAATGGCCAGTGAGTCACCAGAAGTGATGAGACATCATTTCTCTAGCAGCAGGGTCTGGAAACACCAAAGTAACATTTACTGTGGACCAGTGGACATTATTGCTATAGTTCCTTTTGGAGATTAAAAGAACACTTAATATCTTTTTTCCGCTAGGTTTCATTTAAACATAAGCAGCATTCTTCTGAGATCATCAGCCTAATGAAATATTTAACTAGACAAGGTAAGTTAATTAAACATCTTAATGACATTTTTATCAGCCATTGTCCTTGCACCAAAGCCTCCCTTCCTCTCATTTCTGTATAGTACATAATGGTCTACTTCTCTCAAGCCAGATAAAAATTTTCTGCATCAGTGCAGAAACTTAATGAGTGTTTTTTAAAGAGGAGTCTACTCCTTCCCTAGTCTTTACTGAAGTCCTCAGATTCTATTAAGTTCTCTTAAGAGAAAAGACCTGGTGCATGGATATCCCAGAAGCATATGTGCAGAGTCACAGGGCAGAGGTAAAAGCGTTAAGATGTATTTTTACGATGGATCTGTTTGCTTTTGCAGGCAGCTATATATCCTGTGCCCTGTGTGTGGTCCCTGGTCTGAGTCTACACATCGGCCAGCTGAGAAACCAGGTTGACCAACTGCATTCAGCAGAAGGACAGTCTGAAGCACTGCAGTCTCAGTCTGTAAGAGTCAGGTGCCCAGACAAGGTTGGCAAGATAGACACCAGATGAGCGAGTCTCCCACTGAATGCCACAGAGATCTTTGTTAGCACCAAAAATTTCTATGGATTGGGTATATGCTTTGAACCTAGTCATGGTACAGTGGTTTAACCAGCTCTAGTCACCACAGGGACCTGTTGGGGATTTTAGAACAGGCCACTCGGTAGATGATGCCTAGGAATTTATGAAAACCCTGGTTTAGGGAGGAGCTGGCATCTTGTGACTGTAATCCAGAACTACGGAAACATATCTGCAAAAGAGATGGTCCCACCAGCAGTCCAGCATCCCAGTCCCAGTGACACTGTATGGGCATTTGTTCCTTTTTGTTTTAGGAATGAGCCTCATCATGTGACCCCCATATTTTTTTAAAGGCAAAAATCTCCTTGTGATTTCCCAGGCCCAGCAGGCAATTCTTGATATGTCCCCCCATTTTGAGACAGATCAAGCTCCATCTGAAACTTGTTAAACTCTCCCCCACATACCCTTTTTCTCTTAAATTCCACCCTTGATTTCTGCCCTTTTATTCTTTTACCACCACTAGCTTTCAGCTGAAGCATCTTGTCTTCCTCCCTACAAATAACTCCCCATCACACACACATATGCACTCTTTCTGCAGATACTTGAAGTTTCCCTCAAAAATATTCCATCCATCTCAAGTCTTCTAACAAGACCTGACAAGGTGACATCAGTAGTAATCAGAGAAGTTAAACAAAGAATCTTTAGAAGACCTTTTTTTTTACTGCTGAAACACATAGCCTTTGTAAACTCAGTGTGAAAAGCTAAAATCACTTGAATGAAGTCATTTACAGTACCTTTTTTTGCACGATGCCATATTTTAACTGTGGTATGTTATTAAATGTGAAACTCTGTATTTTCCATTCTTCACTGAAGCAACAAAGACTAGAGCCAAACAAAAGATTTTTTAATTCCTATTAAAAAAAAAAAAAAAAAGAAAGAAGTTCTCATTTTAAAAACAAATCCAAAACACAGGTATGTTTTCTTGCAGTAATTTGTAGGAAAGAAAGGAAGAGTGTGGAAGGGCAATGACTAACTCACTGTAACCACCCTTTTCTGTTTTATACATACTGTAAATAGCAACACTCAAATGAAAAGGAGTAATTTTTTCCTTTTCCTGCAATATTCCTTCAACTCATAATGCTGTGTGCTAGTCAGCATAGGAAACTGTTTATACAGATCGTCTGGGTCACAGTTTCCCATGAAAGCATTACAAAGTATTGCCTTAAATTTAACAGCTAGAAGAGCAACACCTACTAATGGTTATATGAGGGAGAAAAGGACCCTGCTGGACACAGTATGGAGAAACAGCAGACTGTTTTGCCTATCGAGGTTGGTGGTATGATATAAATGTTATCCAATGTTTGGCTGCAGTATGTCGGATGGTGTATCAGTGTATGTCAAAGCCAATCTTGGCCCAGAACAACTGCAGACCACTACTACTCAGGAATGGCTAAACTGAAGAAATTGTATTCATGTTAAAGTAAATCTGAGAAAATAAGAAGACTGTTCCATGTTGGTATAGTTACTTGGACCGCTTTGATCTAAAAATGAAATTGCAAGAAGACATCCTCATTACCTTTTTTCTGTTTTGGTTTTTTTTTTTTTTTTTTTCCCTCTAAATGAGAAGAAAACATTAAAAGTATTTAATGGTTCCATGTCTGCTCAAAATAAGGAAGATAAGCAAGGGAGAAGCAGTGATAGGGGAATAATAAACCTGTTCCAAACCACTGTCAGTTTAAAGGACTGGACAATAAGCACATGAATAACTGATTAGAGGCATTAATAAACTCATACAGGCTTCATTAGTTAAAGCTATTATCAGTGCTTCAAGCAGGCTAGTGCATTCTAGCATGCTCTTCTGGTATTTTTCTGAATTTTGGACAGGCATCCCTACATATCTTTTTCACCTGAATACCAAATAAGGAATATGTTCATGAGTTAACACAGCACATGTTAAATCACAGACAAGCATGCAACACAAAGCAATCCATTGCAGCTTTGGTTAACTTAACTGGAATAACATTCTCACACATCTATTTGTATTTACCATCATAGTTAGTCTTACTTTTGCAAGAGAAATATCAATTGCCTTTGATACTACTTGAAGCATATACAGTGTTGAAAGATCTGTGTTCCTACTAACTTCTCCAGTTGTTTCTTCATCCTCAACATCAACTGAAAAAAAAAAAAAAATCATATAATGTCCTGGATGAAAAAAATTGCTTCCCCCAGCAGGCTCAGTGCCAGGGAGTCATCAATATGACAATCACCACTTTCTTGTCATGAATCTTTACAAAAAAACGAAACATAGTTTTAGCCAGAAAGGACAGATAAAAAATAGATGAGCCAGCCTTTGTTTGATTACTTCTAAATTACTACTTTACACAGTCTTACCCAAGAAGTTAATAGCAAGTGCAATTACTCTGAATCAACTAAGAGTTACAAAAGAAACAACTCATACATACTTGGTTACAGCTGCTCTGAAGAATATGATGGCAAAAGGAAACTGAAGCTCGACATAACTTACCTAATTCTAGGACATCTTTCATCTGGTCTTCTTTATAGCCAGTGGATGCTGGAGACTTCCTACATTGAAATTAATCAAAAAATGAATGACCAAATGTTCATTTTTAATAAGAAAAGTTGTTCAGAAAACCAAGAAGAAATATGGAGTATGCCCACACAAAGATATAAATTTTTTATGTGTGTGTATATATATGTGTGTGTTTATAGTTATACACACACACACAGAGCAGGGTCTGTGTGTGTGTGTGTGTATGTGCATGGACAGCTAATAAAAGATGCAGACAGATAAAAACCATATTCAATGGCTTTCAGCTTTGGTTTTAAAAGGTTCTATACAAAGGAGATCAGTCTCATGAACATTTTTGTATAAAGAAATAAATGGTATTAGAGTAAAAACATTTCCAATTGAAGAAAGCTAAACTTCTGGAGTTCATGAGGAAAAGCAGCCAGAACAGAGCAGTACACTGAAATTGATTCAGGATTTCAGTCCTGTTTCAACATCAGTTCAAATTCATTTGTGTGATTTCAGTATATGTCAGGTCCTGCAAGCTCATATACAGGGTCAGACTTTGTATTGCCCTGAATTTCAAGTGAGGATATTCTTGTATATGTGACTGCCTCAGAGTTCAAAGGATCAGGACATAAAATAAAATTTACATCCCTGACAGCGATCAGGATGAGATTCGAGTCAGCCATTAAACTACCTGAAATATCAAAATAATATATGTGGGAATAGGTGTTAGACGGGCTTCCTTTACGAGGGTAATTTTTAAATTCATTAATAGGTAGCAGTTGCTCAACTGCCCTTGTGATTTAATTGTATATTACATAAATAACAGGTTAAAAATTCATAAAAACAACTACTAAAATGACTAAGTAATTAAACTTGCCTGTGAAGTCAGAACTTAAATAGAATGTTAGAGTTTTTGAGATAAGATGGGTTTACTCTTTCTGTTGAATTTGTACCAAAATGAATACAGAACCAAGGAAAAGTTTCAAATAACTACTGTAAAAAGATGTTTTTGGTTTTGTTTTTTTTTTTTTTTTTTTTTCTCAAAAGAGCAATATTGCATTATTGGCTTTTGCTTGGGAAAAAAGGTATTGCACTGACAGTCCTTTCAAAAATAGTATGGAATAATTTCCTCAGCAACATTCTTTGTGTGCATAGTATTATTATAGCAGCAACTGCTGTCATATCACATACTTTCCATTAACTTAATTTCCTTTTTCACTGTGTGAAAGATGAATAAAAACAGAACACAGACATACCACACTTAGGACTTTCCCAGTTTAAAAGCATTTTGGCACCTTTCTCAGTGATAATGTTTGATACTATAAGAAACACTTCTCTCTTTATAAACAAGGTAAAGGATTTATGCAATGAAATGTGGATGGTCACAATTCAGAAAAGATAATGGAAATGAATCACCTGTGTTACTAGGGTCCTGAGGTAAAAATAAACAGGATGCCCAGAAGATCAATATAAATAAGAGAAAATTTATATCATGGCATAAGTACTATTGTGCTCTCACTGAATAAAACAGTGCCTTTAATATGATATACAGTTTAATATAGTTGACCCTGGTAGATTTAAAAATGCAATCAGATCTCCCCTTGCTTTTTGCTAATCCTGAATTTCAGGTGAGATTTCTTTCTGCTAGCTATTCACTAGTATTTTCATGTCTTCTGGTCAGGGAAAGGGTCTCAATGACACTAAATTTGCTAATAAAATGATTTTTAGCCAAGTACTCATGTCATTTAACTGTGCTTAGATATAACCACAATCCACATTTTTGTTTGTCTGAGATTGCACACAATTTTCTCTTGTTTCCTAGAGAATAATGTGTTTCTTCCTAGGTCAACCCCTTTTGATTGAATTTGGCAAAAACAGAGATCTTAACACTTAAGAATGCAGCATTACAGGTTCCAGCATCCTATCTGGCCTCAGCTGCTGCTTCAGAAGAGCTTGGGTCTCCTGTAGGTACTGTACCATATCTCCTAGCTTCATTAGATGTCTTGGATACCTTAGAGTCTCAATTAGCACTATATGCCTATGTTTAGGCAAATAGATCACTCCCTGCATCAAATTAACACCCTTGATTCATTGTTGTCCCAAACACTTCTTCTCAGTAGTATTTAATCTGAAAAGATCTATAAATGAAACTAAAGTCACCTATGGTACAATTCATATATAACTCACTGAGCACAAGTTTTTATAACATTATTGCTCTCTGGAACATCTAAAATATTTTGATTCTACACCTACTCCAGGAAGAACCACGCCTGGGATGCAAAGTGTTTTGAATTCTCAAGGCACAAGGAAATTCCCATCAAGCTCAGGAAAGTGCTGACATCAGACATTGATGCAGGGTATTTTCTGGTTAAGTGGGGTATTTTCGCATGTGTAGGTTCTCTCCTTAAGGGGAACTTGTGTTTCTCAAAACACTGGCAGAACATTTATTGCAATTTCCATTTAAGCAGATGGTTACGTTTCCAGGAAAATTTACTGTACAAGTGAAACCATACAGTTAGAATATTAAGGAAGGGGGAAGTCATCCATCATGGCAGAAAAATGGGACAGGAAGAAAGTATGTTTCATTATAAACATACTATACAGTACTTTCTCTAAATATTTGAACATTCCTATCTGATCTTCAGGCATTGCACAAAACTGAATTTACACAGACTAGCTGAACTCGCAGAGAAAGCACTTCTCAGCACAATAATTCCTGTACATTCCACTATTTCCTATTTATATTACCATACACAAGAGGTCAAACAAACAAAGGGGCTTAAAAAATAAACACTGATCATCAGTGGCTTTAAAATTACTGTGTTGTTAAAACTTGTTTTCACTGGCTGATTACAACAGCTTTTCTACTGAACATATATCTTTTCTGCATAACAACATAGTGTCAGAAGGATGCCTAGAAGTCACAATGCAATATTCTGGTCTTGTGCTGTTATGCTATATACAGACATACACGACATTCTTGTTATAGGGAGTAAGATCTGGAGAGTAAGTAAAAAAAAAAAAATTTACAACTCTGTTACTATTTGCAAAAGGGTAAACAAGGCCATTATATGTGATGCAGCTTGCTACTGCTTTGGGGCAGAGTTATAAAAACAGAATTATTAAAAGCAATTGTAAAGATGCAAAGTCAATTAACATAATCAATACCAGGTAATATGTTTCTATGGGAAAAAGACCTTGTGAAGAAGATTTAATAGAAATTCTGCTACGCTTGCAAGTCTGGTTGACAAAAGTAACAGAGGTCATACACTTAATTTCTCCAAACTTCTTTTTTAGTTAAGACCTGCACCTGATTTGATTGGCACATTAGCAGTATGAAAATTTAATTCATGAACAGTTGGCTCTTTGACAGATATAAAAAAGGTAAATGAAAAACTTGTAATCGAAAGGGTCATTTCTAATAAGCTCACACATGAATCTGTGTTTGCCCTGCTGAATTTTATTAACTGTAGTGACAATTCAGGACAAAACTACATCTTTGCTGAGGTTTGCATAGGAAAAAAATAATATGATAATCACAGGTTGAGCTACAAGATGGTTTGAACTGCATGATGAGTCGGACTCACCTGAACAGAATGCTCTCATAGGCCATGAATGAATATTTATCTCCAGCTATAAAACCAGACCTACTGTAATAAAAGTGTGTCTCCTTTATTCATATTGTACTTTATCAAAGATTTTTTGGTGTAACACCCCCACAGTTTTATTTTCAAGGAGCACAGTACCACCCACATCAGCTGGCCATTACATTCAGCAACTCAAAACAGTTGCCAGCAAAATAAACAAGTATTAGTAAAATAAAACAGAGAGCTAAAATTCCATTAAAGACAGACACTTACAAGACACCAGCTAAAAGACACTACATAAAGCATTGAGAAGAGTTCCAAGACTTCAACACTCAACCAATTCACATCAGTGGAGGTGAATACAACCTTCTGTTCTGTTTGTCATTCATGAAGTACCCATTCTGGTTCTGGCGTTCAACTTTCAGGCCATTTATTTTTAAGGTTATGGAATTTTTGTGGCCTTACGTTTCCTGTCAGAAACCTCAGATTTTTAACAGATCAAACCACTGTAAACTGACAGGATTTAGCAAAATAAATTATCTTCCTGAAAGCTACTATCAAGTGTTAAATTGGAAGAAGACAAAAGCTTACAGTGAGGAGTGGGGTAGTTCTCTTATTTTATTATAAAAAAAAAGGTGAATACAGGTATTGGTAAGCACAGGTACTGCAGAGAGAGATTTTACCTCCTGGTAAAGTAATCTGAGGGAGAGTAACACATAAGGGGGCAAAAATTCCTTGTGCTACCTACAAACACCTGATTGTTTGTAAGGCGCAGATAATTTCTTATGCTGCTTCCAACCATGCTCCCCCCAATGCTCATATGTAGACACAGTGAAAGGAAATGGTGTGAAGCTCTACCAGTGAAATAGGATGGATATTGTCTGTTCTTGCTTTACATTTGAGAAGATCTGGAGTCCCTCTATGTTTGCATGAACAAGACAAATTCTCATTTGACTGAATGCATTTTAGGCAATGGGCTGGACCTTTCCAGTTTTATATCCTTTCCAAAAATAAAGAAATGATACAGAAGCCATTTGTCACTTCCAGTAATTGCAAAGTGCTTCTTCCTATGGAGTGCTGGAAAAATACTAAAAGGGCAAATGGCAGCACACACAGATGTTATGTCGAAGGCTCTGATGCCATAAATCCATTGGCACAAAACAAAAGTCACAATAGTTTATTACTTTTATTTTAGGTTCTTTTTTCCAGTTCAAGCATTATGTTATAAAAGGTGTTATGCAACTCCAGACACTTGAAGGTTTTCACTACTGAGTGATGTGGCAACTATAATCCCTCTCTCTCTTTTTTTGCATATGGGCTAGTTAAATCCATATTCCCAAAAGATGACCCTATTTTGTTTGACAGTCATTCTTCTGATTGCCAATTGCAAGAGTCAGATAAAGACTTATTCCCCAGCTGGCAGCTGAGCACACTCCAGGAGGGTTTGGTTAGTCTCTCAG